AACATGTACAAGAGCCCTGCCAATGTCCTCCACAAGCACCATACTGCCCAAGTTAAGGCTTTCATATGGGGATTTCATCCTAGATTTTATGTATTTCCTCCACTACAGACATCCCAGTGTTTCTTACTCTCTCAATTGGTGTGGAATTTGCATGACCCCACCCACTGCCTCTTCCTTAACCCTTTCCTATTATTTCCTATGGTACACATGAATTAACCAGAAACTGAACATACTAGAGAGGTTTGGGGAGAATTCACCATAATTTATAGGAGTAGTGGGTACTGGGATGCATAGTTCACCTGCAATCTAACAGCACTCTGAATTCCACCAACCTGGAACTAACTTGGAACACAGAACCCCCATGACCAACAAAAAATATTGGCAGTCTTTGGAGGGATAGTTGTAGTTAATCTACATCCAGTGCGCACTATGAACCCAAACGATGATGGATCTGGACCAAACTCAGCATGACTACCCAATATGCCCAAATTTGAATACTGGTGGGTTTTGAGGGGAATTGCCCTGGACATTTTAGAGTTGTAGGTACTGGGATTCATAGTTCACCTGCAATCAAAGAGCACTCTGAATTCCACCAAAGATGGAATTGGATCAAACTTGGCACACAGAGCCCCCACGACCAGCAAAAAACAGTGGAAGTCTTTTCTTTAGGGAAAATTCACTTTGATTTGGGGGAGTTGTAGTTTACCTATATCCAGAGAGCACTGTGACCAAACTAGGCACACACACCTGATATGTTGAAATTTAATTACTGGAGGGGTTTGGGGGGAACTGACCTTCCTTTGGGGGAGTTGTAGTTCACCCACAACTAGAGAAACAGGTGATGGACCTTGACCAAACTTGGCACACAGAACTCCCGTGACTAACTCAACCTACTGGAGGGGTTTGGGGGCACTGAATCACCATAGTGGGAGTTGTAGTTTACCCTACAGCCAGAGAGCACACTGAACCCCAATTATGATGCATCTAGAGCAAACTTGCCCAACATAACAAACTCTTAAGTACTGAGGAGTTTTTCGGGGTTAACATGGCATGATGTGAGTTGTAATTCCCACACAACCTTTTGCATTTTGTACAATTAAAAATTGACTTTTTCAAATAACCTGGGCAATGCTGGGTACTCAAGTTAGTTGTATAATATAGCTCAAATGCTTTACAGTTGTGTGGTTTTATTGCTATACCATTGCTTTCTTGCTACAACTCCATAGGGCAAATTAAGTAAAGAGGCCAATAATGAGACAATGAGTACCGATAGAGCTGCTTTACTAAACAGGAGCTTGAACCTTGAGTTTTACTCTCCAAAAGGAAAATCGGCTTTGTCCCAGAAAGGTTGTCATCAGGACCAACTGCAGTCTTATTGTTATTTGTTCACCTGCAAGCAGCTATGTTGAGTCAAGGTAAGACTTTTCTCTCATTCTTTCATTTACAGCTTCTATAAAATATATATTTTTTATCTATGCTTTGCTTTTTAGACACTTACTTCCCTTAGCAATGCCATAGGGAATCTAATTTCTTGTTCATAGACATAATAGATCTTAAAGCCTCTTCCTTATCTTAGATGGTCTATGTGGGAATGGGAGGTATTTTTAGAGAAAGCCGCCAGAGAGGTTCCAAGTTTTACTTTCTTACCTAACAACCTATATTTAGCATCCAGAACATCTCTCTGACATTTCCCTATGTCACTGGTACCCACACTTCTACAGGTCCCTTAGCTATGATCCCTATAAGGCTGGTTAGATGTCTGAAGACGCTGGGCAGCTTCTGCATGGAGGCAACGCTCCTAGTAGTCCTTCCACCATCACAAACCAAGCATTCCATATTTTCCCAACTTTATGCTCTATTAAAGAGTGTGCTCCCTTTCCATGGCTACAACAGTATATTCATGGATATTACATAAAGGGGTATTTCCTCCATTTGAAGTAAGAACATTCCTACCAAAGTTTCACGAGTCTCAGAAAATCTCACTAGAAATCTTCTCTCATGTTTCTCAGACTCAAATCAATGCATCGTAGTACTGACTGTTTTCCTTGCCTTTTCTAGCTCAGACACTTTCAGTTCAGTATACTATTTTTTTTTCAACCCTAGGTTTTTTAGCACCACAAGGTACTTGAAACAGTGGATATGGAGATATCTAAGGCTCCTTCCACACAACTAAATAAAATCCCACATTATTTGCTTTAAACTGGAATATATGGCAGTGTGGACTCAGAGACAGGGGTGGCTCAACCCATGACGCAAAGTAAGCATTTGCAGTGTAGTTGATTTTGCCCAGGGGCGCTCTTGAGGCGCTCTTGGGGAAAATAGACCTTGACATATGCGAGTTGTAGTTACTGGGATGTATAGTTCACCTACAATCAAAGAGCATTCTGAACTCCACCAATGATGGAATGAACCAAATATGGCACACAGAACTCCCACGACGACCAGAAAATATATATCAGTGATTGGGGGGGGGGGGGGAAAATACTGTTTGCTTACCATTGAAAATTACCTAGGGCCGCCTCTGCTCAGAGAACCCAGTTCAAAGCAGATATTGTGGGATGTTCTGCCTTGATATTCTGGGTTATATGGCTGTGTGGAAGAGCCCTAAGTACGTTGCCCTTTTGTACAAGGTAGGTAAGTGCAATAAACACCTGATTCTTGCTTCTTTCTACCAAATACTGAGAGTAGGAATTCAGCAGAACAGTTTGCTATCTTGATTTTCTACCTGGAAGCAAGGCTAAGGCTGGGGATGAGATAGTCATTGTGCTTCCAGGTTTGCATCCACCATTTGTTTTAGAGATTTGGCATTTGTGTGTCAAATTTTGACTACAGAAAAAGAGATCGGACATCTCTGACAAGATGTGCAGATAGGATGTAAGCATCCTAGAAACGGATTGCTCCTTCTATTTAAAGCCGAAGGGAAAGTCAGCTAGCTGGACATCGAAATTCTGTAGTTTCTGCCATCTGTTCTCCAGACTCCGATTAGAAGTAGAGAACTACAGGCATTACACTGAGAGGATTTGTGAAATGTATCAATTACAAACAAGATTTTGCTTTCATTATCCTTAGATTTCAAGGGCAGAGGAGAGAGTATTATTCTTGTCTCATAAGAGAAACACGACATTTCACAGTAATTTCTGATCCAAGCACAAGAGTTCAGCTTGGGTTAGAGACTCTCTGTCCAAAATTAAACCATCATTATAGTATTTTCATTCTCTCTGGAGCAGTTTAAGAGATGAGATATGAAAGCTGACCTTTAGCGTTACCACCTTAGCCGGAGCAAATGAGGTCCCTGCAGTTAAATAAAATCCCTTCTGCTTAGACCATTCAGGAGAGATTCTCTGTGTGTGTGGAAAACAGAAAATCTACTGGGGGGAAAAAAGCAGGGCAAGCTGCAAACTGAGTACAGTAATTACAGTAAATGTCTGTGCTTAGGAAAGACAATTGTAAAATAAATTATTGATAAATTATTAATGTCTAACGTTTCCTTTCTAAGCAAGATGCCTTGAGTTCTGGTGCTGTACAATTTCCAAGTGTCTATTTGCAAATCAGGGACACAAAGTGGACCAGTGAAATCCCACGTATGAATTATTTCTCAGGAGACTAGGCACCTGCTCTAGATGTAGAGAAAAGATATTGATTTGAATATTATGTAATATAATATATTGTATATACATATAATATGTATAGTATTATAATGTAATACAATGTATTACTAATAATAATAATATGATATTATAATTATATATTTATATTACATGTAATATTATCAATAATATTACAATATAATGGTATAGTACAATATGGTAATATTTAATACTGATATTGTACTATGCTAATATAATAAATTGTGTGTGTGTATATATATATATGTGTGTGTGTGTGTGTGTGTGTGTGTGTGTGTATATATATATCTTGTGAACCGCTCTGAGTCCCCTTTGGGGTGAGAAGGGAGGCATATAAATGCCGTAAATAAAAATAAATAAATAAATTGGTTGACATAGTGCTGGTAGCAGTATACTATAAATGAGAAAGGTTTCCTGCTTTGCTGGTGGGATATATTAGGAGGCAGGAGAATATGGCAGAATATACTTAGTCTGTCTTGTGAGATATACTTAGGTATGTCCAAGAGGAAGAGATGATTTAGTCAGATGGCTAAAAAAGAAATTAAAAAAATAAACATTTCAAAAGCCCTGGTCAGTAACATGGGCATGTTGAAGCTTTCAACACCCGCAGTGAACACTTTGAGGGCATCCCTTCAGAAATATGTAATATTACAGTTCAGATATCTTGCTTTTCTAGTGTTGAAAAGTTGTTCCAGTTGATTCAGTAGTTGATTATTTAAACCTGGGAAAGCATTCAATTACCCTGAGAGCGGAAGGAATCCTCAGGCCAAAGTCCATAGAGAAAAACACGTAATTTCTATGCTCTTTGAGTTTTCCCAACTACTCTAGATGCTGTTTAAAATATGACTAGTAACAAGCAGCTATGCCTTCTTGTTTATTTCTTCTAGACTATGTACAAGGGACCCAACCTAGGTTGTGTCTTTAGCTGCAGGAGGGAGTAAGATAAATCCGTTTTATGCTGTCGCTTTGGCTGCAATATGGATGGGATCCGTATGTATCACATTTTTGTCAAACCATATACATTATTATTATTGATACAAGTTGGTAATTTGAGATTAACCATTTGAACTTGGACCTCAGTGACAGGGCAGAGGGGAGAGAGTCAAATGCTAAAACCACTTTATTTGTCTTGAGGGAAGGACTAAAATTTGAGAGTCAGAAAAGATAGGAAGGGTTGACAGTTGTTAGGCATTTCTTTAAGGTTTTATCTATTTTGGCCCCCTGACTATTTTGGCTTCTCGTTCTCCATCCCACAAAAAGGCAACTTGCAGCAGTGCTCCATGGGCTCTCCACGGTTGTTTCTATCTCCCTCTTAAAGTCCTTTCATCCTTCATTGCCTCTCCTGACCCACCATCATGACTAGGAGGAACTCACCTTAGACACACATGCACAGACTGCTCCACGGAGCCTCCAGCAGCAAGAACAAGGGTTGTGGTCTCTGGTTCTCCTTTGGGTAGTTTTGCAGGAGGTTCTGTGGCTCTTGACCCCCCGGACTATTGGGGCCCTCACCCACACACTCCCTGCTCAGGGTCTGCACAGCACAAAGTGCTGATGTGGAGTACTGTGAATTTGACTCTTGGAGACTCTGCTCACACAGGCATCCTTGAGTTATTAATAGTCAATGGGATCTCGGAGTCCAAGGGTCTCAGATAGCACCAGCACAGGCAAGGCTGGGAAGGGGAAAAGTGCACCTCAGCACTCCTGCAGCCCCCACCTCGACCTGAGGCCAGATGCCAACAAGAGGTTGGGTCTCTTCATCCTTCAAACTGTGGTCTCTCTGTGTAGCCATCTTTGTGGATGTGTATGGATTGTGAAAATCACGTATGCCTGAATCATCCATGTAAAATATTTCACATTAGGCTGCTAAGGCAGAAACGGCAGCAGGGCAGGTACTTCTGTGGAATTTGGAAGCAATGAAAGGTAAAAGCACATCAAAGGGTTTTGAGGGTAGGAGGCAAACACAAACAATTGGTCCATATATTATTCTGTCACTGGAGATGGATATGATTGTATTAGTCTATATTTAAAAGAGAAAAAATAACAAGAATGACAAGATGGGGAGAAAATAAATCAATGTCGTAGCACCTATGAGTACCTCATCACATGGGAGTTTTGCTCTGTCATAAGATGCTTTCAACACCGAGCCAATACAGGGCTTGCCGGAGCCCATGACATGATGTAGGGCTACTTCTGGCAGGGCTCCATGCCGGCTCTGTGTTGTAAGCATGTTGGGAGTAAGAATTCAGAGCACAGGTAACTGCCCCGGTTCTGATTGAGTAAGCCGGGAACAATGTGGAGGGAAGTCGGACAGGAACAGCTTCCCCCGTATGATGGGGAAGGGGGCAATGCGGGTCATGTGGGGTGCAGAGCAACTGTTTACTGCTCACAGATTCCCCAATATCACCCGGCTTCAGGACTCATCACATTGAGGTCCTGGACAAACTGGCTTTTATTTTAGCATGAGCTTTTATACCTCAAATTCAGTAAATAGACATTTCACATTTCGATTTGCATACTTTTATGAACATGAGTGTATATTTATTTTTTCAAAAAGCTTAAATTCCATTTTCAATAACATCTAAGTGTAAATTGTAAACTAAGTCACAAACTGATCCAAAGAGAATTGAATAGAACACAGAAGTGTTACTTTTAGACAATAACTTCCAGAGTCCATAACCAGCGTAATCAAAACAAGTCACGTTTCTAAACTCTATCTGAAAAAGAACTGTGTGTCTTAAAAGAAACATAAGGAAACAAGAATTTGGAGACGCTTGACGTGGCAAGCAGAAAAGCCAAAACTACAAGACTGAAAATTATAGAACTGAAAGGGGAGGAGGACTGTCAGTAAGAGTTACTGTAGGGTGAGGAGCTTTAAAGCAAATTATGTATTTTTGCACAACAGTGAAAAAGTTCATTTTTCAACCAGTGCCACAGCTGCTAGGAAAGTTTCCACAATCTTTGACTTTAGTTTCTAAGGGAATTCTACCCATTAGAGCGGCATACTGGCTTACTTTGATCTAGACAGAAGAACTAGAAAGGATTCTAGGTCAAGCTAGAGACTTGCCTGAGCAAGAGCCTGCTTCAATGTGATCCCTGTCTGGCTCCCCAGGTTTTGCTCTTGACTCCCAACTCCTAGTATTTCACTATTTAAATGCCAAAAGTCTATCAACGAATAAAGTGAATTTTCCTGCTTCTTGGCAAGGAGTTGGACTGGATGGCCCATGAGGTCTCTCCCAGTTCTATGATTCTATGAATAAATCAGGACTAAAGCACTCTCAATCCCTGTTCCTCACGACCAGTCTACATGCAGAATTTAAATTTAAATCTATACACAAAATAAAAGTGAAAAATGTGTATGTGTGCATGTGGTGAGTGCAGCATTTTTCCAAATGAAGCAGAGAGTGTTTGAGGACCGGGACATCCGTAGGGATACCAAGGTGCTTGTTTATAAAGCTATTGTCTTCACAACTCTGCTATACGCCTGCGAAACTTGGACTGTCTACAGACATCACATGCAACTCCTGGAACGATTCCATCAGCGCTGCCTCTGGAAAATCCTGCAAATCTCTTGGGAAGACAGGCGGACAAACATCAGTGTGCTGGAAGAAGCAAAGACCACCAGCATTGAAGCCATGGTCCTCCGCCATCAACTCCGCTGGACCGGCCACGTTGTCCGGATGAATTCAATAATGGAAAATGGAATGTTGGTGGGCAGGAAAAGAGATTTACAGATGGGCTCAAAGCCAGCCTTAAAAACTCTGGCATAGACACTGAGAACTGGGAAGCCCTGGCCCGTGAGCACTCCAGCTGGAGGTTAGCTGTGACCAGCAGTGCTGCAGAATTTGAAGAGGCACGAATGCGTCAAGCCAACCCCAACTGGGACTGCCTTCTACCTGGAAACCAATGCCCTCACTGTGGAAGAAGATGCAGATTAAGAGCCGTCGCAAACTAGGTTCCTGCGGGAGAAAACCTTGCTAGCATGTCCCTGACGTCATGAGCCTGCGCCTCTCTCCCCGCCCCTTTCTCCGCCCCTTTCTCTTTGCCAGCGTGGTTTTTCCTTTGCTAGGGGAGCATTGCCTCGCATTTTCTCTCAGTTGGCAGAATTCAACTGAGAGAAAATGCGGGCAATGCTGCCCTAGCAAAGGAAAAACCACGCTGGCAAAGAGAAAGGGGCGGGGAGAGAGGCGCAGGCTCATGACGTCAGGGACATGCTAGCAAGGTTTTCTCCCGCAGGAACCTAGTTTGCGACGGGTCTAAGAATAGGGCTCCACAGCCACCTACAAACTCACAAGAATTCTGATCCTGGAAGACTATCCTACTCAGCTAAGTAAGTAAAGGTGTCCAGTTACACATACAGACTCCAGACTCCACAAACAGGCTATAGTTCCAAGTGCTGAGAAGCCTCCAAAGGCACTCCCTCAACTGGCACTGCAGGTTAGAGCGAGCGTCATGAACATGTAGCCCAAACTCTGCTAATATCCTCTCCAAACACTATGGCCCATCACCCAACAAATGCTTTCATTTGGGGAAGAATTTCATCCTGGATTTGACATGTTTTCTCCACTACAGGCAGGCATCCCAGGGTTCCTTGTGTGGAATTTTCATGACCCTGCCCACTGCCTCTCCCTTAACCCTTTCCTACCCTATCCTATGGCACACAGAAAACACGGAGTAATTGATCAGCAACGGAACAGACTGGTGGGGTTTGGGAGACTGAGGCCAACTGTAAATACTGCAGATCAAGAATAGGGCTCCACAGCCACCTACAAACTCACAAGAATTCTGATCCTGGAAGACTATCCTACTCGGACAACGAGGGATCGCCTAAGTAAGTAGGCGATCCCTACTTACTTAATGGTGACTGCCCTTGGCATATGGGAATTGTAGTTCACCCTTATCCAGAGAGCACTGAACCCAGCCGATGACAGATCTGGACCAAACTTGGGACACACACAAAGTATGGCCAACTGTGCATACAAGCCTGGTTTGGGGAGGATTGAAACACGATTCTGGGAATTGTAGTTCACCCACATCATTATAAATTTTCTAATAAAATCGCATTTTGGCTTTTTTCCTAATAAATAACCTTACTAATTAACTTAATGATATGACCTAACACCCCCAAACAAGCAGTGCCTTTTTCAAATAACCTGGGCACCTTTGGGCACCCAGGCTAGTGTAAAATAAAGGTAAGCATTCATTAAACACATACACACACATTGTCATTTTATTTTATTTATTTATTTACAACATTTCTACCCCGCTCTTCTCATTCCTACAGGGGGACTCAGAGCAGCTAACAATGGCAACAATTCAATGCTGCAATAATTACAATTGTAATAACAAGATAAAATCATAGAATACAATAGATTAAAACAAACATTAATCATACAGTCGTAAAGCCATTTCCTTTATAACAATCGTATGGTCCAATTTAGTGTTCAGGTGCTGTTATGTCCATTAGCCAAAAGCCTGGTTCCACAACCACGTCTTCAGTTATCTCCTGGAAGAAAGGAGGGAGGATGCCGATCTAATTTCGCTGGGGAGCGAATTCCACAGGCGGGGGGGATCACCACCGAGAAGAAAATGGCAGTCTCTAACTTAACGCCTTCCAAAGGTCTTGGGCAAATGAGTCTGGAGGGATTATTTTTGCAGACAAAAATATTACAGTGAATATTATGATAAAACATTTAAATTACCTATCATTATTTGAAAATAAAATAATTTTGGATACACATGGCATTCCTACAAGAGTAAGCAAAACTCCACTGCAAATGTCTGAATAGGGAATTTGTCTTCCACATGAAATGTATAATATTCCAGCTAAGTTCTGGTTTGGTGTAATACTGAGAAGAGCACCAACAATCCAAAGGCTTGGTTGTGTTTCACACTAATATCCAAAGGTAGGAGAAGTCACCTTTTTAGATTACAATTTGTAGTCCACTACTGTTTATTCTTTGCCATTTTCTTTCAGCATTGGCTGCATTGTGAGAGACTCTTCTCTTAAGCCGATACTGCCATGCGTTTCAATAGAGTTGCATTCATGCCCCTGCATCACTTTCTGAATTCTGCTTTTGGCTTCTCTCATTATGAAAGGTGATCCAGTAACCCTGCCACTCTGCATATGAATCTCTATGTACCCTCCCCAGGCCAGCAGAAGCTATTTTCACTCTCCCTGCCTATATATACAAAGCTCGAGGGAACACACGTTGTGGGTTGTGTGTGGCACTCTGCTTGAAGTTAAGGTTTTGTGTGTGTTTCAGAGGCCCGACTTTGCCAGCTTCTCAGTGATATTGGAGTTAATGTCATTGGTGCAAACAGCTTTTTAGAGAAGTATACTGTGCAGGATTTTTGGCACTTCTTCATACATCCAAAGGCACACTTAGCCTAGACATTTGTGTTAGCTCACAATCTTGCAGGATTTGGATTACGATCATGGCTAACTGGATTATTATTGTACTCTTTTGGCTGTGATCATAACATAGACTTCTGATTTATGTATTTATTACTGGGAAGCCTACATTGGGACAACAGAAAGCAGTGAATGACACCATATAAGATGGGAGCTATTTGT